GTGAGAAAAGGGGTAGAAAGAGAGAGAGAGAGAGAGAGAGAAAGAGGAGAGAGAGAGAGAGAGAGAGAGAAAGAGAGAGGGAGAGAGAGAGAGAGATAGCGCGCGATGAGAGAGAGATAGACAAGATAAAGAGATGGGAGAGGAAGAGAGAGAGAAAAGAGAGAGGAGAGAGAGATAGATCCAGAGAAAGAGAGGCGAAGAGAAGGTGAGGAATAGAGATGAGAGAGACGGCTGGATGGGAATAGGAGATACCAAGATAGTGGTGATTACGATGAGGATGATGATCATGAGTCATGACGAGACGACAGGCACACATACACGCCGACAGCATCGATGATCATTGAGATCACATGTCCTCGGACTATCGTTAGATTGTGAGCCCACTTCGTGCGCATCCACATTCACCAGTCTACGATTTGACCGGGCTGGAGGGGCGCCTGACCGCGTCTCTTCTTACGCTTCTCAATGCTCTCAGTAACAGTTGACACTTGTGCTATGGCCTGCCTCTTTGGCTAACTTATAATGTTTGACGCCCATCTTTTCAGTTCAATATCTGTCTTATTATATTATGTCTTTGCTTCGTCATTCACTATCAATTTCATTATCAATTCATTATAATTCCATACAACTAACCTTTGTTATTTAGCTCCAATTATCTCTTTATACGCGTTATCTATTGTATGACTTCTCTCTCTCTTTCAACGGCGAGCCATCGTAAAAACGTCTTTAACTCTAGTCTTATATCTCCTCATCAACTCCTCGCGCAGCAAACCACTCACTTGTCATAACATTGCTCTCTCTCCCTCCTCTCCTCTCTCTCGACTGAGAGCAAAATGCCAGGTGTCGAACCCCGCCTGTGTCCCACCAGTCAATTGACTGTCGTCTATTCCTTGTAACATTCGGAGCCGAGCAGCAGCTCGTAGCGTCATACTCAAAATATCAATCTATCTGATATACCAAAGTGTCACAACTCGTACAATGAACCGAAATAGAAGCTCACATATGCTCCTCAAGGGGGGAAGCGGATCTCGGTGTTTCAAAAGCCAGTTCG